CGTGCTGCCAGATTCCACCAGTGCATTGGGGATTTCTCTTTGGCGTAATTCCCAGATTGTCAGTGGGCGAGACGTTCTTCGATGAGGTCCAACGCTGACCAGGGTTTCTTCGCACTTGAGTTTCTGGTTGGAAGCTGGCTGGAGCTGAAGTAGAAAATTGATTCGCCTTCTTTGCGGCATTACTAAGATATGTGTTCGGCACGCGCATTGAACAACCAACGTATTCCGCAATACATTCGCATTGATTTAGGAGACAAAGGTTTGAATATTGGAATCTTGACTTAATAGCTGAACATTGGTCTCAAGTATAATATAAACTAGTTCCAATAACGAACACAAGTTTCAAACATTAGACAGTAGCTTCCATGACGTCACACACTGATGGTAATAATTACTAACACTAGTTTGAATAACGTCTACCATTCAGTTCAATAAATACGGATATGTCATCTCAATAAGTACGACTCGGGATTCAATAATTGCAACATGTTGGGATTAAATGGCCTTGGCATTTGGGATTCATACATTGTCTCAACGCCTTCTGGCAATTATTCTAAATTGTTTGTTTGGTTATTTTTGATGTCGTATTCATTCCTGGCATCTTTCCAAGTGCATTGGCTCTCCGCCTTTCGTCCGATATTGCCTTCGTTTCTCCCGCACCATGATTTGTTGTTTTCCCGCTTCGCCCCGTGCTCGAGATGTGCAGCTGCCTTTTCGTCTGTTCTCTCGGTCCCTGTTCTTCCCCGTCGACCTTTTCCTTCTTCTTTCGCCTCCTCCTCCTCTTTTATCTTACCCTCTTCCTTTTTTGCGCTGCAATGTTCTCTTTTTGCGCCCGCCCGCCCACGCGAAGCTTTCGGAAAAGAGAGAGACCGAAGGTTGCGGTTTGTAAGCTGGACAGGACTGAAATAATGTCGCTGACCTAGGTTAAAAGTTACCCGGCATTAATATGTTCTCTAGTATCATTAAGGGTTTATGGGATCACTGGAATCACCCCCAATCGTGATGTTCATCATTATTTGGGGCGATGTGATGCCCGACTGTTGGGCTTCGTGGTCCCTTGCCTCAGTGCGGCAAGAGAATAGCCATTCATTTGCAATATAATTAAAACTGTCCTTATCGCGCTTTGGACTGCCGTAGGCAGACTCGAGGAACACAGTATCTGAAAATTCAGAAGCAGCCGGATTACAAAATTGTAAAGACAAGATGGTGGGGTTTCACGATCCTTCAGGGTATGAAGTAATGGACGACAGATGAGAGCATCTTAGGGGTCATACAGCGTACGCTTCTGGGCTTTGGTCTTGCTTGCTTCTCTCGCTTCTTCTGCGTGGACTCCTCCGACAGTGCCGCGCCGGCACGCACGGCACGTAGTTGACCCGTTTGTCATTAGCCCTGATTTCTTGCTCCACTCTGGCACAGGTGGCCCACGTGTCTATAATTCGCTGCTTGACTATATCATTTGCGCACGGTCGGTGCAAACCTTTCAATAACGTTTCAAATGTTTATCAAGGAGCGCATTTCTTCTCTGGAATGGGAATGGGTCACGGGTCGCACTGGCCACGCACTTTTTACGCTTCTGTAGGGATTGGCGGCCAGGATTCTGATCTTCGATGTCTTGGCAAGCATTGTGATCAATCCCACCATCGTCCATGTCCGCCGCATCTTCGAGCCAGGAGGCCTGGGAAATCGCCTCGAGCCCGCACGGGATGTCCGCGACCTGCAGGCTGGCAGGAGCTGGCCCAAGAGACCTCCAAGGCAGCCCACGAGGCCTCCAAGAGAACCTCCAGGAAGGCCCGAGAAAATCTAAATCTTTGATGTTCCGTAGGTTTTTGATGGATTCTGGACTTTGCTCCTTTGCAGCTTTCCGACTGCCCAAGACGGCCCCGGAAGCCACCAGGGTGGCCTCAAGGGCTTCCAAGAGGCCTCCGAGATAGCCACCTGACGGCTCAAGAAGGCCCCAGGACGGCCCCAAGAGGGCCCCAAGACGGCCCAGGAGACCTCCAGGACGCCCAAGATGGCCAATCGCCCGCGGTCATGGCAGGCCCGCGGCCCACCTGCCAGTTTCTGTCCGCTTTCGTCGTGAGCTCTTGCGTTCATGTGTGTGTATATATATATATATGTATACACGTGAAGATCGTATGCCGCCAGCATGGCGCACACTTTCTGGAGTACCTGCTTCACACGCATGTCGAGCCAAGAGCGAAAGCATTACCAGAGGGCCCCAAGTGGGCCCAGAGATGCCTCCAAGACGGCGTCCGACAGCGTCAGGCGGGCCACTAGCGCCCTCAGACAGCCAAAGAGCATCTCAAGGAGCCTCCAAAGGCCCGCGAGAGGCCCCCGAGAGGCCTCCAAGAGGGCCACAAGAGGCCAGAGTGCCCCGAGTGGCTCCCTAGAGTCCTCCCCCTCCTCCTCCTCCTCCTCCTCCTCCTCCTCCTCCTCCTCCTCCTCCTCCTCCTCCTCCTCCTCCTCCCACCTGTTCCCCAAAAGGTTTCCACATCGTCTGGGGGAACATGCAGTCTAGTAGCTTGGCCACATGGACTCTTCCAAAAGGTAGAAGGCGGCGGTGATGCGCCGTAGGCGCCTTCTATTTACATATACATACATACATACATACATACATACATACATACATCCATCCATCCATCCATCCATCAATCCAGCCAGCCAGCCAGCCAGCCATCCAACCATCCATACATACGTACATTCACAATCCATACATACATGTTGGCAGACAGACAGACAGACAGACAGACAGGCAGGCAAGCAGGCAGGCAGGCAGACAGACAGACAGACAGACAGCCATGCACTAGAACCACGCGCGCGTCGCGCGCGTTTAGGCTCTAGTCACAACTGCGTCACGTGTTACGGCTCTCGCTTTCGCTCGTTGGAAGGGAACATTGCGAAGTCCGCTGCGTGGTAGCGTTGCAGAGTTTTCATCCGCCTCGGCCCCTTCCCCCTCCCCATCCCTCGTCATCGTCTTTCTCCTCCTCCTCCTCCTCCTCTCCATCCTCCTACTCCTCTTCCTCCTCCCCGCGCTCCTGCTCCTGCTCCTGCTCTACCTCTTCATTACCTCCTCCTCCTCCTCGTTACTCCATTTTCACTCCTCCTCGTGTTCATCCTCTTCCTCCTGCTTTTCCTCCTCCTTCTCCCCCTTCTCCTTTCGTCCCATGTCCTGCACCTCCTCCTCCTCTTCCTCCTTTTGCAGCGACCCTCTTCCCTCCTCCTCCTCCCCTCCTTCCTCCTCTCTCACCTCCTCCCTCCCTCCCTCCCTCCCTCCTCCCTCCTCCCTCCCTCCTCCCTCCCTCCCTCTCCTCCTCCCTCTCCTCCTCCTCCTCCTCCTCCTCCCCCTCCTCCTCCTCCTCCTCCATCCTCCTCCCTCCTCCTCCCCCCTCCTCCCTCCTATCCCTCCTCCCTCCTCCCTCCTCCTCCTCCCTCCTCCCCCCTCCTCCTCCTCCTCCTCCCCTCTCCTCCTCCTCCTCCTCCTCCTCCTCCTCCTCCTCCTCCTCCTCCTCCTCCTCATCCTCCGCCGCCCAGACGTTCCCAGAGAGGTCTCTGGGGAACTCATGGGCGGCTGTTCTCCACGGGCACTTGAAGGCCTCGGAAGGGGGCCTCTTGGAAGCCTCTTGGGGGGCTCTCGGGGCCTCCTGGGGGCCACCTGGGGGCCTCTTGAGGGTCTCTTGGGGCCACGCTGGGGCCCCAAAGCGCGGTCGGACCGACGTAGAAGATCGAGGTCGGTTCGGGGAGGGTATTACGGTATTATCCGTGCTTGCTGGATGTTCTTGTGCATCCTGGGGGAGGGCTCCCTCGAATGTTCTTCAGTTTGTGCTCCAGAGCTGGCTGAGGGCGCTCTGAACCCGTCTGACGCCTTCGGCAACTGCCTGGGGGGGCTCTCGGAAAGCACTCGGGCCGTTTGGGGCGGCTCTTGATCTTGATCATTATTGGAGCCGTGTTGGAAGCCTGTGGGTCTCCTCCTGGAGCACTTTCGGCCGAATTGGGAGCCACCGCGAAATCTCCGAGGCCCATCGGGACTGAAAAGGCGAGAGCCCCGAACAAGTGTCTCCTAAGGGCGTCGTCCCTTTGGCCACCTGGGGCCGCTTGGAGGCCTCTTGGGGGCCTCTTGGGGGACTCTTGGGGCTTCTCGCGGGCGTCTTGGGGCCGCTTGGAGCCTCTTGGGGGCTTCTTGGGGGCCTTCTTGGAGACCTTTTGGAAGCCTCGGGGGTCCTCTTTGGGCGCGGGCTTGAAACTTCAGTTGGACTTCCCAATCCCGGGGGCCCTTTGAGGGTCCGTTTGGACCGTCTTGGGCACCTCGTGGAGCGTCTCGGGACCCTTTTGGGCCGTCTTGGGGCCCTCTTGGGGGTTGGCCGTCTTGGGGCGCTCTTGGGGGCTCTGAGGTCGTCAAGGACGGTACGATGTACGTTTTACAACAAAGAAATGGGACGAATCTTGCTTGTCGGGGACCTCTTGGGGACCTCTTGGCAGGCCGTCTTGAGGGTGGTTCGCGACTGTCTTAGGGCGCCGTGAAGCCCGTCGGACCGCTCTCCGGGGCGCTTTTGGGACCCCCCCAAGGGCGGGCCCTGTGCGTGATCGAAAGGCTCAGCTCAAAATCTGTGATTTTAAAATGAATCGTCGAATCCCTCATAATCTCGAAAAAACCGAGCGCATGCCATGATAAGCTGCACTCTGCCCCAATCGGCGAACTAGCTCCACCCCGCCGCCAAATTCCTCGAGCTCTAGTCGAACCAAGAGCACCCGGGCCCCCCCGTTTGACATAGTGGTCGTGGCCACTGGGCCCCTGGACCCAGTCCCCTGTTATATGTATGCATGCATAACATACTCCCGCCTGTGTCTCTTCCACGTATTCCCACTCCCTTCTCGACCGCATCCTCCCTCTCCCCTCCCTCTGGACCATTCTTGGGGAGGGGTCCAGGGACCGAATCTGTCAGGACATCGCACAAGCAACCCCCAATCTACGATTCGGCGCCGAAATCTGGTGGAGCTCCCTCCAACTGTGGTCCTCTCACTCCTTAAAAGCTGGGTCGCTGAAGCACCTCTCCCGCCCCGCGTACGGTTTTTTCGCGCAGTATGCACGATGCTATGTGTTAGCGCGCTGAAGTGCGATGTGTCGTCAATGGCGGCTATCAAGCAACTCTGGCTCGAGGTGTTGACTAATGAGCGAGCTTACGTTGCTCTTCCGCTTCCTCAATTTCAAAGCCGCCTGCTGGCTCGACGCTCCGAGCACCAATTCGTTGAACCGCTTCTCCACCGCAGAGGCTACCCAACAGAGCAAGAAACCCTTGATCTTGTTTTCGACGACGTCGAAACCAACAGTGGTCTGGATGAGTGCTTTGACACGTGCCTCATCGAGGGGATCGCAAGCGGTGGCAGATTGGCAGTCAATTTTGCTGAACTGCCGAACGACAGCGAGAATTCCTGACTTGCCCTCTTCAATCTTCTCAACCAAGGCGTGAGCTGATGCCAAGGGCAACGCCATTTCCACCTCAATCCCCAAATTGATCGCCGTGAACTGCTCAAACAATGTCCATATCCTTGTCAGGTACAAAGGCTCTTCCCAAGTATCGAGCACGGCCACTACCTTTCCGATGCGGCGTAGGTTGAACTCAAACGCCTGTTCAAGATTGTCAGACCCTCGTCTTGTCTGGCCCACCAGTATCCGGTGCTGGTTGTTCACGAAGAAGCACATCCAAAAGAACACCTTCTCGGGATTCAAAGTGGATCTCGCTAACCAGCCTTCCAGCGCGGACCGCAGTGAGCTTAGCTTGTAGCCCCATGTCCACGAAAGGAAGTGCGTGCAAAATCCCCGGTGCTGGGGTGGCAACGTGTCTATGATTGCGCAGCCAGGTAGGCCATCACGCGGGCAGGGTTTTGCTCTCCCGAGCGCGTTCGGCCCAAAAAACAATGAGTCCTTCAAATCGTAAAAGGTTGGATCTATGCACCCTGTGCGCTCGGCTGCCAGCTGCTCGAACTCGTCGGACAGAAGGTACGCAGCACTGACCCCGAACCTCTCGCTGTGTAACTTGCGAATCTCGGCAACTTTGGCATCAACATCGTCATTCGACAAGCCGATCTTGCACAACGCCCGCCGGGCCTCCAATATTGCATGTTCATCGTCTTCCTGTACCGCTACACGCAATTGCTCAATCATATGAGCTTTCTCATCTATTTCGGTCGGAAGGGACAGAGCCCGGACCTCTTCCTCCAACAAAAGTGTACGCATCCAGTCTATGCGATGCTCAACCTCGATGTTTCGTTGGCTTGTCCATGACAAGGCTAACGATGTTGTGACCATGGCAGTATGTACGAATACACTGAACGTATGGTGTGGTGACATGCCCAACGGGAAACTGAATGTGGCATAAATGCATGGAACACTGACGGAAACAAACAAGCTGCAGCGGGTGCGAACCCGCATGCCCGTGATGGCCACACTCCCAAGCAGAAGTAGTGAGAGCAACAACAAAGAATCGGACGATCCAGCATCGCATTTCTCTGAAGAAAACCGGAGCAAGGAATCAGGATCGCCTTCGAACATGTATCCGACTCTCCAAGAGTTTGTAAATTGAACGCAGATCGAACTGGTAACAAACAATACTGCTACAACCGAATCCAATTCAATATATTTGTAAAACCGCTCTGGCGCGAAATGGAGGACGACCAGTGTATTGACACAAATGGCTTGAACAGCCTGTGCGCCGAAGATGGCTGCGCGTGCACTGTTCATCTCAATACCGCGAAGATACGCGAATCGACCGAAAAAGCTACAACACCAAACGAGACTCAAAATTACCCAAGTTCTCATAAGCTTCGCTCGAATGGATTTACGCACCATGGTCGCAACGTAACGCGTCTCCATCTCACTGTCCGCAAAACTAGGAAACCATAATGCTCGAATGCGTGCACTCTCCGTCTTCAATCTAGCCTTTTCCTCCGGGGGCAACGCCTTCTCCCCGATTGGCCAGTTATCCACTGCCATGCGGCGGTGTGTGTTGGTGGTGCTACCGAGGCCGACTTACTGCCAACGGCTATGCATTCAACGTGGCGGCGTAAGCTTCAGGCTGGAGCCGAACTGGCTACGGTTTCACCGCGCGGACTTTCTTGCATGCGTTGTTTCTGCTCGGAGCGTCTTCGGTCGCTTGGAGAAGCCCTCCCGTCTCGGCACCCGGTGCACCCCACGCCCCTCAACAGCTACTCGTGAGGAATACTGCTCTTCAGTCCTCTGATTGCGCCCCCGTTACAGTTGAAGCTCGACCACAAGAAACCTTCCACAAGAAACCCAACCCTGAGACCCCAAGACGTCCATTGACTTTTGGTTTGGGAGCAACACGCTTTCCACAGCAAAACCATCGAAGCCCAAGAAACCCAGGGCACCCCCGAGGCAAGCAGGGTGTTTTTTGGCATGGGCCCCGCTGCAAATTACTATTTCCCTACCTAGGCTCTGCCTAGAAGGGTTCTTACTCTCTTAGCTTAAAGGGGCCGGGCAGTGTAACACGCCCCGGGCGGTTCCCCCGGTCCCCGCCCCGCGGTTCCCCCAGTCCCCTGGGAGCTTAAGCTTTAGCTTTAGCTTTAGCTTTAGCTTTAGCTCTAGCTTAGCTTTAGCTTAGCTTTAGCTTAGCTTTAGCTTAGCTTTAGCTTAGCTTTAGCTTAGCGTTAGCTTAGCTTTAGCTTAGCTTTAGCTTAGCTTTAGCTTAGCTTTAGCTAGCTTTAGCTTAGCTTTAGTTTAGCGTTGGCTTAGCTTTAGCTTAGCTTCAGCGTAGCGTTAGCTTAGCGTTAGTTTAGCTTTAGCTTAGCTTTAGCTTAGCTTCAGCTTAGCTTTAGCTTAGCTTTAGCTTAGCTGTAGCTTAGCTGTAGCTTAGCTTTAGCTTAGCTTTACTGTTACTACTAATGCTGCTTTCCTAGGGGCTCCAACTCCTAGGTAGGGTCGCACTGGGATGATTTTCTACGCGGGTATCCCCGCACTTCCTACGCGGGTATCCCCGCACTTCGGCGCGACAGTTCTGCCGACATTCAGCACGTGCTTTTCCACGCGACACTCCCGCCGCCGCCCGTCCGCCAGGCCAGTCGGCCGGGATGATTTTCTACGCGGGTATCCCCGCACTTCCTACGCGGGTATCCCCGCACTTCGGCGCGACAGTTCTGCCGACATTCAGCACGTGCTTTTCCACGCGACACTCCCGCCGCCGCCCGTCCGCCAGGCCAGTCGGCCGTCCACCCGTTCGCCCGTGCGCCCGCCCGTCATCCCCCGCGCTGCCTTCGACCCCCCTCCCTGCTTCCTCCCCCCTCCTCCTCCTCCTCCTCCTCCTCCTCCTCCTCCTCCTCCTCCTCCTCCTCCTCCTCCTCCTCCCTTCCTCTCCCCCGCCTCCTCCTCCTCCTCCTCCTCCTCCTCGTCCTCCTCCTCCTCCCTTTTCCCTCCCACCCCCCTTTCTGCGTGATGGCTGGCTCGACCGGCAACCCCGCACGGAAAGACTCGGGACCGCCCCCGGTGGCGCCTCAGGTGAGAGGTCGGGGCGCCCCGCACGCCGCGCCGGGCAGGGTTGCCGGCCACGCCCCCAGGAACCGTCCGGCCCGACACCCCGGCGGGAGCGATCACACGCGGAGGAGGAGGAGGAGGAGGGGGGGGAGGGCACCCCGAGGGCAGCCATTCCGACCCCGCCCCCTCCGAAGGGGCGACGATCAGAGACGGGTCTTGCGCGAAATGGCAAAGCGACCTTACGCCACGGCCTACACAGGCCGCTGGCGCGGCACTCTACCGTGGAGACGAAGGCACTCACGCGCTGCCTTGCGCGGGCAGCTTGCGCGCCAACGTCGGCGCAAACGACCCCGTTTTCTTGCGTCGCTCACACGGATTCATGTTGGGGCCACGTTGGGACGCAATCGAACGGTTCGGATACATAACATGCAGCTTGTGGAAAGCATTTTTCTGCAACCTGGGGGCTACGCACACATGCGCACGCGCGCGCCCACACGGCCACATCATGCCCACCCACGCGCCCACGTCACGCCCATCCACACGAGCAAGCGCACGCGCACGCGCACGCGCACGCGCACGCGCGCACGCGCGCAAGCACGCGCGTACACCTGCGCGAACACATGCGAGTACGCGCGCGCACGCATACACGCACACATACACACACATGCACCCACACGCGCACGAACACGCGCACGAACACACGCATGAACACACGCGAACACACACACACACACACGGACACACACACACACACACGAGCATAGGGATACGAAGACGCATATGCACACACATACGTACACACGCACACACAAACGAACACAAACGCGCACACATCATTTTTGCTTCGGCGGCCAGGCAGAGTGACCGCGCTGGCGGAAGAACATTGTTAGGGCATGCGAATGCGAATTAAGCCGCAATGCTCGGGGGAGACAGGAGGTCCAGAAGGCCTGTGACCTACAACCCAGGCACAGTGGCGGGATGGGCCGAAAGCCACCAAAACCGCCGCCGCCCTGTGCTTGTCACGGGAGATGTCGGCGTGCTAGACGCTACCGTCTTTGGTTTAATTCTTTTCCGACCCCCCCCCTGGGGCTTCCGCCCAGCCCGCCGGCCACTCGGAAGGGCACGCAAAGCCCTGAAACGACCTCGACGTCCAGAACAAATCTTCGGGTCAATGCCTTCTCCGCTCCAAGATGGCCCTAGACGGCCTCCAAGACGGCTCAGATGTCTCGAGATGGCCTCCGAATTCGCCCAATTTGGTCCAAGACGGCCTCCACGACGGCCCAGGAGGGTCCAAGATGCCCCCAAGTCGGCACAAGAAGCCTCCAAGACAGCCGAAGAGGACCCCAAGAGGCCTCCAAGACAGCCCAAGAGGCCTCCCTGAGGTCCTCCAGGAAGGCCCGAACAGGCCAAAACCATTGATTTGTCTTACGTGTTTGAAGGTTTCTTTTCATCTGTTCGGCTTTCCGACAGCCCTAGACGACCCCCGAGGCCCCAAGATCGTCTCAAGATGGCCCTTGC